GTTAAAGAGCTTACCTTATATTTATTCTAGTCTCAAAAATCTGATTCATATGAATGAGTGTTTTCTTTAAGATTGGCTGAAACCTGAAAGGTTGATGTAAAGCGCGAGACATTATACCGGTAGTGTAGGACGTGAGTTAGACGGCGCTGCTCCAGACACTGTGAATTGTGGCCTCCTTCCTGACATACCTGTGGCCTGAACCTCCAAACCTTTCCACAGACACACACATCAAGCTAATCTCCAAGATCAGCACCAAACGAGTTTCTCTGCATCGTATACCGCCTTTCCTTTTCTCCCTGATTCGGACGCTAATTCCAGGAATTGGGGTCTGCTGCATTCAAATGATTATATTGTTCTTAATCAGTGTGAATTGCGAGAATCAGCTAAACAAATGTCTGCCAAGGAAGAGTGAGTTCTTTGAGTCCTGAAGAAACTTTTGAAGTGGCTTTAATTCCTTTGCTGATTGACTGGCCGGTGATCTAAGATGACCACAGGCCCTGATCAAGTTGTTCTATAATTGCTAGGATAGTATTGTTAGCACTCTGTCAGTAGTCATAGAGTTGAGCCTGCTCATAAGAGAAATAAGCTTTCCAGCTTTCCAGTTTTTCACTTTTGCCAAGTTGGCTATCCCTTCCTGACAGTGTTGTGTTCGAGTTTGGCGAGGGCCAGAGAGAGTCAATGTGAGCAAGTTAATGTGAATGTCAGCTTGCTGTAAACACAACCCTGACTGTATACTCTACAGAAATATATGGTTAAGTATGAGGTTTGGTCTAATGCTTCAGTTAAGTTTTACTGAATGGAAGGATTGACAGAATAAAATAGAATATATCTTCAATTATAATCAGTTTTTGGTCTTACCGGAAACTTTTAAAACAGCTGCAACAGCTTTTTTTTTTAAATGACCTTTTCAATTTTTTAAGCTTATTTTTATGTAATTATTTCAATTTAGAAAGTGTGTAAACATATACATATGTGAAACTATCAGGAAAAAGAAGCTTGCACAGTAACTTTAGTAAATCCTACAAGGTAAAAATGCTGAATACTGTAATTGAGACAATTATAAATTCGATAACATCACCTGTGCCCCCAGTCAATTAGCTACTGACTACTGAATTGAGAGAAAAAAGAAGATAACAGCATTGGAAACTGATATAAAACATAATAAAATCTCAGACATAAGACACCATTTTTCATCTACGATTTGAAAGTGCCAAATCTATGGTTTCTCCTTTACATTCTAGCAAGTGAGTGCTGACTGCAGACAATCACCAATCTGTGTGATGAATAGGCTCCGAGCGCACAGCCCTGCGCTGTTGTGATCGATGGGGTGTCGCTGTAAACATCATCCCTAAAGACCACCAGAGACACTTTCTGATTAGCACTTAATCTCACTTCCATCAACCCTGGCTGGAGTGTAGCTTGGCAGGGCCAGCATACCTCTCTGAAGATCAGCAAACCAACAAAAGAAATGAAAAAAAAGACGAGTCTGATGTCCGCTGACTGCTTTCAAACGATTATAAACTGATGCTTGCACAGGGCCCTCTTAGAGCTCACTTTCGTCTGGGTAGATCTGACCGAAGAAATGTAATATGCGGAGCGACGGCCAGTAACGCAGGCGTGCTCTGCTCTGTCTCTCAGGCTTTGTCCAGTTTGCTGTACAGTGTTTTTTATAAAACGTTGTGGTAGGTCGCTCAGTTTGTTACCAGCTCCCTGTTTGTGATATTTAAGACTTGGCTTAGATCAACTGAAGTGTTTTTCGACTTGAGCGATTGGTTTCGCCCTAGGACATTTTCCTGTAAACGGGACGCTAAGGAGTTTACATTGCAAGTCACTTATTGTGGAATGGACTGTCTTGTTACTGGCTCCTTTGTCTTCCGCAGGCAACTCAAGCCGAGGGCAGAGCCACTGCGGTTTTGGGGGGCTTTCGTCGGCTGCCTTGACACTGTTTGAGAGGGCCAGCTCTGACCAGAATTAATGCAATATTCACATTCATAACCAATCAGGGTTCAAACAGCAAGAGGGGAGCCAGAGTTTTCATGAATGACAAATTGTAGAATTGGACTTATTTACTATGAATTACAGAACATCCTGCTGATATATCTATTATGGTTGTGTTGGTTTGTATTATTGTTTTCTGCTGGTCAGCCCTCCCACAGTTGAGTCTGTTTGCTTGAGTTCACCATGTCCTTGTCATCGGGTGAAGACAGGGTCATCCACACATGAGGGATGATATGACGATCTCAATGAATTCTGCCTTTCAGTAACTACTGGAGAATAAACAGCGTTCTAAACCACTATATTAAAGTCATCTTTCATTGTAGACCGCATATTGAAACGTAGCTATTTTTTCTTAGGCCCACACAGGATGAGATGTAAGATCTATAATAACTGTTGGCAAATAATGAACACATAATCCTCATTCAGAGTAAGAGATGTGTATGGGCCATTCTACCGAATTGGTGCAAAGTCAGGTTGGAACAGTTTTGAAATGTTGTATGTTTTTTCTCCAAAACTTTGTCCATATATATTTTGTACCATATCTAAATTACTCATATCTAGTAAAATAACCGTACATTTTTATATCGTATTTTCAGACTGTATTGGAATGTTCTTCCTCTACCAAAAATGGTCACTACCGAAACATAGTACATACACTGTAGTAAAAAGGTATTATATTAACCTGTTAAGATTGTTTTACTTTCCCTTCTCTAAATAGTATTTTAACACATATTTATTGAGGGTTTCCACAATTAAATCAATGCAATTTAATTTTTTATCAAATTTCAAAGTTCAATTTATACAATTCATAAAAGTCATAATGCAAACTTTCTTTGTAAAATGCATAATACTGATCATATTGATTCCAGAGTTGATGATTGTTGAAATTGAACATACATTAAACCAATCAGTATCATATCATTTTATTTGATAAGTCAATATACTTAATTTTTTACAAAACATCCACTGTTTCGTTAGTGACCACAGTATTTTGTTCTCAAGGTTGTATCATATTCCCTCAACCTTATTGCTTAATCTTAACTCATAACATGCCTTATGTTGAAGTTTTTGAATGTTTGAAGCTACTGACCCAGAATCAGCACTTTAGTAACAGGCTGAAATAGAGGGGAATGAGGCTAGAATGGGTGATCTGTTTGGTATTTTGAGCAAAACACTTCATAGACATGTTTTTTATATATTTCTATTATCTGAGACCTATAATATATTCCTAAACATAGTATAATAAGATACCTTTAAAGTAACACACTGATTTTCAGACTTTAAAACACATTTATTTCAAAACTATGGGATTTACCTGCTTACCATTCAATTTTGTCACTCCCGAAACGATCATGTAAATTACTGAAACGTAACCATATGTTTCGGTAGTGACTGTTTCGGTAGTGACGATTCTAGCTAAGTTTGAGCATAACTAAAGAATGCTAGCAAGTACATGGCTAGCATGCACGTCTTTGAAGAGGTTTACACACATAAAAACCTAATACTTTGCATAAAACCCCGAAAAAGTTTACTGAATTGAAGATAATATGTGTTCGGTAGTGACAATTCTTAAGGTTACATGCCGATTTTCAGATTTTGGAACAGATTTATATCAAAAGTATGGGATATAGCTACCTGCCATTCAGCCATGAGGGACAGGGGTGCAGTGTCACTGCCTTGTCAAAAATGCAGGGGTGTGGCTAAAAACCAGGCTCAGCCATTGGACTAAAACCCCTTGTGTTTCGGTAGTGATGAAAACTGGGGACATGATTTCTTTAGTATAGTTTTTTTATAAAAAAATTAAACCCACAGTAAATCGAAATATTCCAACTTCTGTTTGAATGTAATCATAAAGATCTTCTAAATACACCATTGAACAAAATAAAATAAAAATGTTTTAAGTGTTATTTACAGAAATTGAAATTTAGATGTCAGGGTTGGGGACAGCTACTTCCCAATAGAAAGTACCCTATAAATGATGTTTTTGTATATATTAAGCTTATCACTATATAATGTAATGCCTTATGTTTAAATAGACCATAACATATTCTTAGTAAATATCTATGTCTGAATACATAATTGTTTTGTTAAATTGTTTTTCTTGTTGTGGGACCGCACTTTGTACTAATTCGGTAGAATGCCCCGTATACATTTGAAGACCAGTAAAGAATCTGGGCATTGAATATTTGGTGCTCACTGGTTGCCCTTATTTTACATCGCTGGTTGTCCCACTGTGTACTTTTCGCACTATCATTAGGTCATTATGCAAACTGGCTGAATATTCGGCACAGTGATGAGGTGCAACATTCAAGCATTGTGCAATGGCCAAGAAGTCTGGGGTCTTCACTCTTTTTAGGAGTGGAGGTACAAAGCATTTATGCTAATATTTACGGGGCTCTTGCAAAGTTTTTAAGCCAGATATCTTCAATAAAGTAGATTATGGGCAATGTTTGTTACTCTAAGTTAATCGTCGGTCTAACGGTGAGAGTGTGCTTACTGAACAAGTGCATATTACCTGTAAACAAACCAGGTCTGAAGGCAAAAGTCTTCAAAGCTTTTAGTGAACAAATTGCAAATGAATCAAATTGCAAAACTTTAGCAAGACCTACCAAATGAGGAACTGTCCTAACCTTAACAATTTGAGATCAATGCAAAATCGAGGGTTCCCACCTAGACACGACTGTGAAAAGCCAGCTGTCGTAGAGATTGATGAGACATAATGATCATCAAATATACATCACTGCATATACTTTAGACACTCTTTTCTAAAAGACAATCACGCTAGAAGGAGAACTTGTTTGTATATTCCAAATGTACATAGTCTTGTGAGGAATGAAAAGGAGGGCTTGAGATAAATATTCAAAAATCAGATATATCCAAAATTAGCTGGAAGAATCACTGACATCAGAATTGTTTTTGTGGGGAGGTTTCAGATATTGTTTGACGATTTACTTCCATTGTATTAATCACCTTCACTGTTTACTCCTCTGTTTGTCCTGCAGCTAGCTATGGAACGTACCCCATCTGTAAAGGCTGCTCCGTGTGCTCCAGGGACAACGGCTGTGTAAACTGCCAGCCCAAACTCTTCCTGTTTTTGCGAAGAGAGAGAATGAGGCAGTACGGGGAGTGTCTTCACGACTGCCCAGCCGGATACTATGGCATGCGCAGCCCCGAACTCAACATGTGCTCCAGTAAGTCCTTTTGAGTTTTTAACCTCGCACTCCAAACCCCACCCCTAACATCCCTGGCTTTCCCCTTCTTTCCCCCCAACAACACCACATCTTCCCCAGACACACAGTCCCCTAAACTTCCCCTTTTGTCTCACTGCACATGATTTATTGTCAATTATCCATAGGAGACACACATACCGCGCAATTTTAACGGCTCATTCGTCCACACAGGTGGATGTAAGTAGTGAAGCCTCGTCTAAGCGGTGTCTCCCTCGGGATTTAACGGTGAACTCCAGCAAGGATGATCGCTGTTTCTCATTTATCTTTAACACTCCCTCTACACTTACAATACCAAACATCCTACAGTCACGAGGATGTTTGAAGGCATGACATTCAGGTGCAAATTCAACCAAGATGCACTAGAGATTCAGCCAAACCGACCCCAGAGACTCAAACGCCCACATTAAAAGCACTTTTGGCCATGTCATTCAATATCATCTGAACTACAAAAGGTGATTATATATCCGCATTAGGGAATGAAACTAACCTCTTTTGTAGCTCGCCTGTAAGAGCTTGTGGATTTAGACTTTCACTAGACAGTGTCATTTCTTGGCAGCCAATGACGTTTTTGACTTTGAAAAAAAAAACAGTCTCAATTGAAGTGTCCAGATCCTCCACCACCAACTGTGCGTTTATTGAAGTTCGATTAAAAAAACCAAAGCATTAAGTGCATCAAAGCCCAGAAGATTAGAAGTCAATTCAGGGAGAGTACAAACATGATCTGATTTCTAAACTTGGCTCATTTTTAATGATTGTTTCAGAGATAAAAACACATTAGATCTTTTATTAATAGTCTCCTTTTTAAACATATTACTCATGTGGCCTGAAGTAAAAATATGAAATGTTATTTTTTAACAAATCTTGTTGTGGAAAATACTGTAGATGACACCTTCTGTCTCACACACTTTCAATTATGCTTTACTGTAAAAAGAAAATCCAAACAATAACAGCGAAAAATGTTATATGCTCTCGTGATTCTCGTTAAAGAATAACTCTGAAATCCAATTAATTAAATGTGTCCCTCTCCTCCTTATGCAGCACCCGGATCTCATAACCTTATTTTAACATGAAATGAGCTCGTAGAGAGACGGAGCCTTTTTATCTTATAACACGGTGCCAAAGGTGTTGGCTGAGTGTTTCATAAGAAAACAGAGAGAAACTTGAACTCGTTTGGTTTCCCAGTGCCAAAATCCTGACAGACGAAAGCACCAGAGGAGGGTGTCCGGACCTTTAGGCCCAATAATGCAAACATGTAGCAACCGCAGGAAGAAAAAAGAGAAAATTAAAACTTCAGTACCCATAAATCTTACAATTTGACGTGAGAGCCTGTTTGTGTTTAGCTGGACATGCTGGGATTCTACTTTAGGAGGAGGCTAAGGTTGGATGGATGTGTCAAACACCGGAAATGTTACCCCAAAGGCCACTGTACTTTACCTGTGTGAAACTAAAAGTAAACTTATTTTGACTTATTTGCATAACCAACCATGTCATCAATGCTAATGCTAAGCTAGCTCTTGATTGTCATTAGGCCTAAATACCTTTTAGCTACATGTTAAACGATATCTTCACATTTTCTAAAATATGAAGATATGGCATTTTTTTGCAGGCACTTAATGTTTGAAGTTATTTTTCCGAATGTTTCCAGTGTTCTGATTACACAATAAGCCAAATGAGACAATTAAGATATTTTCCAGATGCATTGTTTTATTTATTTTGTCTTTAATCGGAATTCACTTTACCTAATATCAAAATTCCATTTAAGCAAAAAAGGTCAAATTATGGGGATTTCTCTTATGCCTCAGCAGTTTAGTCATTACGGCTTAGAACATCTCCTTCTGCAGTTTTAACCAGTAACAGCGATCTAAACCCTTTTTTCATGACTCATATAATTGGAACAGAAGGACATCTTGTTCTCTGTTAAATTACCCTTTGTTCTTTACTTTAATCCCACTATCCTAACCGCAGTATCCCCATATTGGGTAAATTTTGACTTTAACTGATCCTGAGTGCGGCAAGTTAATCTGAATCCCTCTCCGTACATACTGCTCATAGAACAACATCTTGTATTGTCACGTAGCATCAGATCTCAGAGTGAGGACCACTTTGATGTGATCGCTCTTTCAGTCATGGCTTTCTAATCCAGTTTCCTTTTTGACCCTCATTCTCAACTGCGCCCTGCATGTCAATTTCAATAAACAGTTCAGGTCCAACTTTCGTAAGCGGATATTTTCCTGGGTTGGAGGCTAATTGTCAGGTCAGGGAATGGTGAGTTGACACTGGTACCTATGAGAGAACAAATGACGGTGACGGGCTCTCTCCCGCTGCGGTCAGAGCTGACGGGTGCTCCTGGTTTCCAAAGAGGCCTGGAACGTGGCATTACGTCTCTGTTATCATGAGCTTTTTAAACACAGGCTCTGAAATCACTCAGGGAGCAGCTGCTTATTATTACAACTGAATTTCCCTGTGTGATCTTATCTCATTCAAGATTTTTTTTTGTGGACTGCCATGGATAAAGGAAAACAAGAGCCAAGACAAGAGGCTTGTACACTCATCCAGTCACTGGCTTAGTGTTCAGTATTTTCGAAGGGCCTCCTGAAGCATGTGACTGAGAGCCATTCACACTTTTATGCTCTGTAGACTAGTAATATTCGGTTTCATTCTAGGATAGGAACGTTTTAGCGATAATGAGTTTAAGGCCAGTGCAATACCGCTAATTGTAGATTTAAATAATCCTTTTCTGTTCATGTTAATCTAAAGTCTTTTTTTGAGGGAAGAATTCTGTAAACGGCATTTAGAATTTCTTTTGAGCATCATGTGTGGGCTATAAAGTATCCCAGCATGCACAGGGCAAACATCTCATGACACAAACATATTAAAAGTAGAAAAACGAAAGGAGGTAGCATTTGTATGCAGACTGTACACACTTTGAAACAATGCCCTTTTCAATCACAGAAATGATTGATTATGTACTTTATTGTAATAAAGAGCTAAACATTTGTTAACAATTAAATCATTTTGAATTAAGCTATTTGCAAAGAAATCAGCATTTATTTTCTATTGTAATGTTCTTGAATGTCAGTCTTGGAAAAACGTAAAGAAGATACGATGAATTACTTTTTAAAATTATGAATGGTGGTGTATTTACCTTACCATGCCAATAACTCATTTGTAATGACTACTTAAGGACATGTGCCTAACTTGATGAATTTTAAATGTACGGCTTTCATTCTAAGTGGGATTATCCTACACTGCAGAGAAAATGACTCTATAATTACAGCCAACAACAATGTTAACTATACTTTCCGCAACATTACATAACTAAAGGCCCATTTAAACCTACACTTGAGCTGGACTCAAGTGGCCCCAAACATGGGAGCCACAATGTTAACAACCATCACTTAACTGTAGCCGGTTCGTTAGCGATGTCTTTTTGTTGCATAATACCTTCCTGTATGTCCATAAATTATGTTCTTAGGTCCCTGCTCTACAAGAACTCCTTTCAGCAGCTAATGGATAGGTTGATATGAGCCATAAACCATATGCAGTAACTCCAGTGTTATCCACAGGGGTTCTTATCAGCCGCCCAGAAGAGGCCCCACACCAGTGTCTGTGGGTGTCAACCCACCGCTCGGCATGGAAGATTTGTAGCAACGCTCACACACTACGCCGCTTTATGTACAGCCAAATATGTGTGAATGAGGTGCAGTCATGCTCTCGCCTGGGCCACATTTCATAATACCTCGTTTTAAAAAAAAACATACATTCCTAGGCAAAAGCATATTCTGTCATTTTGTATCACATGCAAGCTCTCTGGCTGAAGAATTATGAGCTGAAAGGGGACTATCGGAGCTGTCTTTTTGAAAAGAGAAAGTGTTGAGAGGGTCAGCATGGGAGCAAGGCTGCATTCAAAACTTCCTCCCTCAGGGCATATTAAGGACCCCCCACTGCTACACACACATACACACTCTAGCCACCAACCGAGTTGCCTTATCCTACTGCAGCAGGCTTTCAAACACGCAAAAACCCCAGCTGTGTTCGCTGCCAACCAACATCCAGTCAGATCAAGGCCTGGGATTGCCAATATCCTGGAAGCGTGGTTTAAATATCACAGTGCCGTCAGTGCCAGCCTAATGTGCCGCTAGAGACTTCTCTGTCAGAGGTAATTGTTTTGGATTGCCAATTGTGATTTCTTTTTTTACTGGGTTGCTCACACTGAGGAAATCTATTACCAGATTCTATTGTTGTATTTCTCGCTGCTTTGTCACATAAAATTACATCTGGAAGTTGAAGGTGATTGGATGTGCCATTTCCAAGATCATTTTAGTTTTAAAGTACACCTTGGGAAATCGTTGGGTTTGAGGCGGAAAAGAGCCATGAATCATGTTGGTTCCGAGGCTGTAAAAAGGAACTAATATGGGTTTTTGTAACCTTTAGTTGGAGGCGCTGGCAGCCTCTTTCCATGTATTTCATTCAAGTTCTCACTTTCTCACTAATTCTGAGCTTGTGGGTATTTCCATTGCACGGTCTGACCAACAAAAAAACCCAGTTGCTTTTGGCCTTTGAGCTTTATCGAGGGACATTTAACCATCACACATTTACTAAATGCTCTTTAAGATTTGCCAGACAATACAATGGACCGGCAAAATCACAGCCCGGCGCAGAGTTGAATAGGGTTATTTCTCTCAACTTCATTGTGTGTACTTTATTGAGAATGGAAAGGCTGTCTGTGCTTGACCACAGTGTGAAGCTCGAGCTGTCTGCGTGTATGCTAAACAGATACAGGAGCAGACTGTAATCCTTGGAGTGGAGACGCTAGGAAGACTGCTGACACATCTGTCATTGCTGTTCTCTCTCTGGGAGATACCGATTGACAGGAACACCACTTCTGCTTCACCTAGCTGTACATTGACGCACTGAGGAGCACCCAGGTGGAAAAAAGACAGCACAGAGACAGTTGGGAAGAACATGGCAGCTCTGGCCTTTGCCAAGAGCTCCTGATATTCCGCAACTCCGCACTACATGGCTGGGTAGAAGCGAGCAAGCCAAAGCCTCCATGTCAGCCAAAGACGGGGGCCTAGAGAGTAGGTCAGAGCTGTTCGACCCAGCTTGGAGGCAAAGGATGGAAAAAATAGGGCTTGTTTTCCCCATCACATTGCCAGGTCTTTTACGACACCGACACTCCTGCTGCGCCACATCGGTTCTGGTTAGCTTTGTGGAGGGGTATGAGACTTCAACTCACCGAGAGCTCAGATAACGTAAAAAAAAACCCTGTGTGGAACATGAGAGATCATCCATCTAAATGATTTAGCGCCTTTTTCATGTAAATGAATGGAGTGATTCACATGGTGCTGTCAGGCTGCAGAGGAACCACAGTTGACTAGAGCTGACTTGAGGCTTTGAGTGTCCGTGATAATACCGGTGGGTTCCTTACCAATACCACAGCTGAGGGACCGCCAAGTTTGCGCCATTAGATCACAAGTGACATCATCTTTCAACTCCAAATGCACTTGACATGCATACCGCAAACAATTCAATCGCAAAGCCAAACAAACTAAAAAGTGTATCTGCGAAAATGGGCAATGGGGAAATTTGTAGACGACCCCTCAGAAACCCTCGGCCACTTCAGCTTTTGACATTCCTTTCAAAGCTGAAACACAAGGCTTTTCCTCCTGTGTTCATGATATAACTCACAGGCCTATAACTCACAGGCCAGAACCAGGCTGGGAGATAATGATGATAATACGTTTAAGTCCCGGGAACAGAGGGCCTTCAATGGGATCTGATGACCTCATTATTTCTCATTAGTCTCCCTGAGGCACCTATACGAAGATTTTAAAGGTGGTCCAGAGGTTAATCCTGCAGGGAGAGTGAACCCGCTCCCCTGTATCAGTTTCTGGAGCTGCTGGCCGAGTTAGCCTAACTGACCATTGATCAGTGTGGGAGCTTCTCCAGTGTCAGAGATAGCCTACGCTGTCCCAGATAGCCTTTGTGCAGATAACTGGACAGAAGGATAAATGTATGTCATTGCGATCCTTTCCTACTCGTCTCGCTCTCGGATGACCTCTGACCCTTCAGCTTTGCCTCCCTGCATTCTAACTCCCATGGAGCCGCATTGATGTACCAACCACCTCATCAATCCTGCTGAGAAGACATTATTACTTATCTTCTATTTAGAACATTTCCGGGCATTTGTGGCATCGCCTTACGGTGAACACTTGTCAAGTGCCACTGCTGCTGCACAATACAGTATTTCACACAGCTGTGTTGCTCCTATTTACTGTCAATAACTGAGGATTGCACAACAACCCCAGCGCTTTAGAGAACTGCCAGATGTTCTTGTTCCCCCCTTTTTTGTTTGGGAGCTAAAAGTCTCTCAGGTGATGACAGGCCTGGGAAGTGTGAAGGGTAAAAGACAGCTCAGTGCTTTCCAATTAGGTCTGTGATTTATTAGCCTGCTTCTTGTATTGGGCTTCTCTTGTATTAAGCCTGACTGATTCAGAGCAAAGTGGATAAGATGCAGAGAGCTAGAATAAAAAAGACAGAAAAACACTTTACATAAGTTTGACGTACACATTCCAGCCCAAAATCTTTCTACTGTACCGCGTAACTCCCGAGATCCAGGACATATGTTGTGATATAATATAAAACGGAACAAAGGTAATACCTAGATAAGATCAAATCAAATAATTAAATTAATAACGTGATGTGACTGAGAACACAGGAAATTACCAAAGGGTTAAGCGATTTATGGTCAGTGTGTTGACGTCTTTTCAGAATGCAGAGTACAGCTTCATTGCAGAGTGGGTTTATCTCCAGCCATATCTGATTGGTATGTGTGTGTTTGTGCATATGTGTGTGTATCCATGGTTTGTTTAGACTGGTCGGGAAAGCGTGAGACCAGAGTGAGTGGGCAGAGGCCATACTTTAGGGTTCAAAGTAAAGCGGGGAGGGACCCCCTCGTTTTGGAGGAATGTCGAGGAGGAGGCCTGATGGTTAGCTGGAGATGGTGTAATTAAGGGGTGTGATTGTGAGAACCTTCCCTTCCCCGGGCCCTGCAAGGGTCACAGATAAAAGAGCAGCCCTCAGCACCCGTCTCCGCTCTCACATGTGGAAAATCACAGTAACGCAGGTTTTACACGCAGAGAAATGCGCACGCGCTAATGTGTGGTTGCGTCTCCGTTCGAGGCACAATGAGTGAAGCAAATGACACCCTACCTGCCTGCAGGCGGAGGGTGACAGTGGCTGCAGGTTACAGAATGTGGTTTCCCGACATTGGAAGCCTATTGGAACACATAGAGGCCGTCAGGAACGTCATAAATTAGCCAGCTCTGGGAGGCTCCTTCTAATCATGTGGGCCTGCGCGTCGCCCTGCTGGTGTGGTTGTTGTAATTTGGCCCTGCCTGATGTGCTATTTGCAGAGTAAAAGCTTGATGACACATTGCCGTGCCTTTCTTTGCGAGTGCGCCACTGCGTGTCGCGCGCAGCCGGCAGGGTGTGGCGTGGGAGGATAAGTGTGCTGTTGTTTTTGCTGACTTAATGCATCAGCATTTGTTTGGTGAGGCAGAGCTAAATGGTGTCCCCCTCCCCATGCATCCCCCTTCCTCACTCACCTTTTAACCTTTCATATCGTAGCCAGAACTTAATGGTTTCACACAGATGGCCAACGTCTTGATTATGAGCCCTCATACTCCTTCTAATAAAAACCTGACTTCACCATAATCCTCAGTTATGGACACAGACATGGGTTGGAGCAGGGTGCAGTGATAACATAGCATATTATGGACACCTAATGGGATGTATTCTTCCTGTTGCAGCACACTGTTAGTTGAAAACATGTGAGCTTGTGTGTTTGTTTCCAGATTGTTGGATGTTGGTGCAATATGTTGAAAGAGCCCAGCATAACATAATGCCTCACTGTCTGATGTTGTTTTTCACACTGTTGAACATTCCGAACATGAACAGGAAGATGAAAAATAAAATATCTGTCAAGCGAAACACATTTTCTGAAATACACTTGAGCCCTGGAGAGAAATGATTCACTGGGCATCGAGAATTTTCTTTTTTGTGGGACAGACAGCATAATCCTTTCAAGAACCCCCATCCCCAAACCCCTTAGCTTTCGATCAACTCCAGATGAGAGGGATCTCAGACCCTGATGACTCTCCTCTTTTCCCCCTTCTTCCTCCAGGGTGCAGGATAGAGAACTGCGAGTCCTGCTTCAACAAAGACTTCTGCACCAAGTGCAAGTCAGGCTTTTACCTACACAAAGGGCGCTGCTTTGAGAAGTGCCCCGAGGGCTTTGCCCCGCTGGAGGAAACCATGGAGTGTGGAGGTACGTTAAACGCACAAATATGTACAAATAATTAAAGAAATATCCAATCTGAATAAACAACATTGCCTACTCCGTCAGACCATTTTTGACTGTTAAGCTTCTTCTAAAATTGTGTATACTAGAGATGGTCATAATGATACGTTAGCGTGCGTTCATTAGTTTGTATAAGTTTCACAAAATTCTTCATTATCACCAAAGTAAACAAAACAACCCTAATTTCTAGATTCTAATGCAAATTATAAAGTAAAGTAATTTTAAGGCAGTACATAACAGTTTCTAACCTTAAGAATTTTCTAACGCTGAAATCGTTATATCAGCTTTTTGCACTTTTTTATGCTAATGTGAGCGTTAGTTTGCTAACAACATTAGCATAGCTTAATAACAATAGCACATTTTAAGGTTAGAACAAGTTATAAGTAGCTTCATGCTTGTTTGCCTAGCAATTATATTTAAAATGAAGGTTTATTGTCATACGTTTTCGTAACTGGTGGTGGTAAAACTTCTCAGTTGGCCTGCTTTTTTTTGGATTAAGAAACAAACAGTTGAACTGTATTAAACCTTGGCCCTGTATTAAACCTTGACCTGGGGTCTTTGGGTTGCCTTTAAACTGTACTCTGCTGTGGTTTCACTGCACATAACTGATTCTGCTTGTCTTTGCAGAAGGCTGCGAGGTGGGCCAGTGGAGCGAATGGGGAGCCTGCACCAGGAGAAACAAAACCTGTGGCTATAAGTGGGGTCTGGAGACCCGGACGCGGCACATTGTAAAGAAACCACCCAAGGACACGATACCCTGTCCCACCATCGCTGAGTCCAGGATGTGCAAAATGGCCCTGAGGCACTGCAGGAGAGGTAAGGATAGTTTGCAGCCATATGTTTATTTTTGTGAGAAAGATACTCTGTCAGTCGCTCCAAACTCAATCCATGTTCACTTCAAAGTTTACACTACGCTGATGAATCTGGAAAAAGAAACGGCGTTCTTTCTCGCTGAGAGTTCCACCTGTTTCATGTAACCCTTGTACCTTCCACTCAACCTTGTTTTTTTGCAGTCTATGTTTTTGAGGTGGCGTTTTGGTGCATTAAACATCAGTATTTTTCCATGGCGGCCTTGTTCGGGCCAGCTTTTCTGAGGTATATTTCCCCCCCCCCTCTCCCATCACCCTTCCACTCCTCAGTGGAATTCTTCAAAGTAAGAACTGCAGGTTTCCTCAATGGCCGTCTCTGTTTCCTCCCGTCAGCCTGACAGATATTTGCCGTGCACACAGCATGTATGTCAGGCCATTAAATGAGAAGTCAATTCTGGAATTTCTCTCTGTGTGAATTCAGCTAAGGGAAATATTTTTTTTCAAAAAGTAAACCATCTCTCTAAGACGATCCAAACACACCATTTGGGGTGATGGCCTCAGTTAAAGAAATGTGTTTCCCCTCTTAATGTACTTTCACTTCTCTCGTAAACTTTGGATTAGGATAGGCCAAGTGTAAATATTTAATTCACCAAATAAGGAAGCAATTACAGTGGCAGATATCATTTAGGCTGTCGAAAAAAAAAAAAAAAACATTGCTGAACAGAAAGAGGGAAATATTCTAACCTCGAGGATTTTTCTCCATTTTTGGCCTGGAGTGTTAGACGAGAGGATCATTTAGTGAAGTGGTGAAAGAGTAAATAAACTTGAAATACACCCTGATAGTTTCTCGTATTTCAGCACTACCAAGGCAGTGGCTGCTCTCTGGGCTGGAAACTGTGATTCCATGGCACATTTAGCTCCTAAAGCCTGTTTCTCAGGGAAATTCTCCCCAACCCCCACGCTCCTCTTTGGGACTTTGCCGTGGCTGCTTGACCTTTTCCGACAAACTTTATGACCTTCTTTAATTAAAATGTGGCATTGTTGCGCATGGTTACTGCCGGTAATTATGTCGAGCATGAAGTTAGTGATGGGAAGTTGTTGTGAAGTTTAAATTAAATGCATAGCAGAACCATTTTTCTTTCTTCGTCCTTTATAAAAAAAGACATTAAACTCTCTTTAAGTATCTCACTTAAAACTACTGTCCATTGCAAAACACTCAAAACAAGTCCTTACCTAATGGCCGTGCGATAAACGTGTCACTGTGTGCATCTTAGGTCTTAGGACTCTTCAAGCTTGTGAAATGCTGCGGTGGCCAGTTCAATAAAGGTACATTTCAGACTTAGGCATGTGTTGTTAATTCCATACCGCTCGACCGCTAGTAAAAAGTCCCTACTTGGCAAAAGCCAGTGAAATGCAACACTCTTCAGTTCAAATAAATACAATGTGAAAATGTAAGCTGCTGAATTCGAGCGGGAGGAGGTAAGTGCTCGACCAACTGACATTTTAAAATAATCACTTCCCATCAATGATAATAAAGCATAGTCCAGTGGGAGGAAAAGCTAACTTCCTAACTTAACGTCATTTTCAATTTCGTTTTGGAGTGAAACAAAATAAGACAAAAATGCAACAACGCTACTGTTTAGGCAACAGAAATAAATAGTTAAGTGCTGTTACATCATGAGATACCTTGCAATGTGACCCTTTTAAATGACAATCAATACAAATGTCAACCTCTTTGCAAGAAAATGGACCCTAATACCTAAAAATAACAGGGTTTGCAATGCAATATGACTAATTGAATTTAGAAAAAAGTAACATGATCATTTCGATTTTATTTCAGAAGATGAATGTAAGAAGCTCTTTTTCACTTGGTACTGAAGACAGTCTGAAAATGAACATTGTTATCATCTTTTCTCGCAAGACACCAGACACCAATGTTTAGGATAAGCACAGGATTATATATCTGCAGACCGTAATGATGCTGTGGATTAAGCGGAGACAGGAAATACGAGGATGCAGCAAGTAGGTATAGACTATTTATGGCAATGCTTATCTGATCACCCAGGCTTGCATTTCTACATATCTACGTATTTCAATTACACTGGACGTGTATGCACAAGGACAGCGACAAGAGTGATCTTCTTCTTTTCCTTTCTGTGTCGGCGAAGATCTAATCCCTCTGTAAAACACACACAGAGAAAGTAAAGCCCAGATAATGTCAAGAGGCGAGGCACTCACAGCAAACATGACGAGTTGTGTAAACCGTGTCTGATGCGTTCCGTACAAAGTGTAAACACCATAGATCATTCGCACTGCTGGGATTAATTTGCTGTTCTCGGTCGGTGTTTGGACCATACATCTTCGTCCTGATAACACACTCTGTCCCCAAAATGGCCGGGGGGAAATATTGCGTGGAGCACACAGACAGACACAACATGTGGTGGTACACTGTCACAAGCACGATTTCCAACTGTCAAGCTAATTTCAAGCAAACTTTTGAAGTTTGGCAAACGTCTAATTTGGTATGTTTCCAACTGCTGAGTTGCACGAAGCATCGAAAAAGCCATATTGAATGGTTTCACATGCTTGTTTGTTTTTTGGCAGAGAGAGTTATTAGGAAAAACTGTTTCCCGTTGCTATTAATCACATTACTTTCGAAAAACATTAAGTGATTAGAAAACCTTGAGGAAAACCCTAACCCTTTTATTAAATTCACCTCATATTTCATTTTCATATAATACTTGAATGAAAAATGTAAAGGAGAACATTCCCTTAAATATCTCTTAGTCATATGCTGAGAGAAAAATAAGACAAGTCAACTCAAAATGCATTACATTTTTACATTACATTTGACTTGTTAGACGCTTTTATCCAAAGCGACTTACATACTCAATACTGTGGACAATCCCCACAGGAGCAATTTGGGGTGAAGTGTCTTGCCCAGGGACACAACGACATGCTGACTGCAGTGGGGTTTGAACCTGTGACCCCCTGATCCGAACACCAATGCAGTAACCCACTGTGCCACACGCCTCCATGTGGAGGCACCAAATGTTCTTAAAGTCTACTCAACAGGTGTGCATTATGTTGAATCGATTTGGTCTTCACCTTTGTGGCATGTCAACAATTGTTTATTAAAAGCAAACTTCCCCTAAAAACTCTATAAGGGCAGGTGTTGTGTTTAAATGTCACATGGCACATACCTTAAAATGGGAGAGATGCCACCAAAAAAAGTTGTTAGAAGAAGAAATAAGTAGTAGGGAAATTGAGGTACAAATAAATAAACTCAAACAAAGTAAACATGATTTTCAATGTCTTCAATCTTGGCCTTACAGGAAAATCAAATAGCATCTTAAAGCAGTTATAAGTCATCCAGAAGCTGACACTATGACAATAGGTTCTTGATCTATGGATTTTATTGGGGAAAAATGAACCAATAGTATTTCTTAAGCCTCAAAATGTTACAAACCAATCATCAGTATTACTCTAAAACATATAATTAACTAAATTGAATATGATGATATTTAGGGATATTTAAAGCTGCTTGCATTGGACATAACATTTGTGGACTGTGTTAAAAAACAACACCTTTTTTCTTATCTTAGTAAGACCGCTCTGAAGTGTTTGTGAATCCCAGAAATCAATGGGCAAAACATGGTTACGAACAAAGGCATTTCTTCTTATATCGCTTTCAGCATGAGGCCTCTCTGGAGGAATAAGGAAGTCGTTGAGACGGTAAAATGCTCTTCTTTCCTTCAGATCCCTGGAGTGGCTCTCTGTACGGGCTATAAACAATAAAAATACTTTATTAATAGCTGCTCTGCTGCTATCACCATTGACAGACTGCGTCTGCCCCTCTCTGTCTTGTGAGCTGATGGGAGGAGAGGAAAGGTGAGTGGAGTGATAACACTGCACAGCCCGGGTGTTCCACATTATATGCCATTAAGGAATTCCCTACAGAGATTTCCCAGCAGCCCCTGTCATCAGATTCACTGGTTCACAAACAGACATGTATGACAGGTTTGATTTCTCTTTCTCTGCTTCTTTTTTTCTGCTGCCCTTAGCATCGCTAATCAATCCATCTGGGTATTTTCTTTTCTTTCACTACTGCCCACCCACTATACTATAATCTTTCAACAACAGCTGCTTCTGCAATGTCAGTGACATTAGATCTTGTGTAAACAACTTAAAATGTGAAAGCTCTCCAAACGCCCATGCTTAATGTAATCCCTGATTTGGGATTTAACAGGGACTAAAGTCCAACACAAACGCACCATTGCAACTTGGGCTAATTTTCGACAGTTTTACAAATCGGCTTTCAGATTCTCAGACGGCACATAAGTATTTACGGTAGAAGTCTGGAGTGACATTTGTTCAGCTCTGCTTGCTTGATTCCTATTTAAAAGTATAATCATTTGAGGGGCATTTGTAGTGCAAGGAGGCAGCTAAGCACAAAGTTAACCCAAACAAGAACAGAAGTTTTACAATATGAAGTTATTGAACAGTAAAACATTTATAGCGTAGCAACATTTGGAACTGATAACAGAAAGATATTAAAGACCTGGTTTTCCAGAACAATGCGGTTCGACTTACACTCTAAACGCTTCTACGAGCCCGTGAAGACTCACAGTCACCCTGGCGACCTCATGGAAAGAAAAAGGGAAAAAAAGCAGAGAAAGGAAGAGCTAGAAAGAAGCAGCAAATAATGATATCTTTGGCCTTTGGATTATGTACCTGTACTCGGAGAGCTTCAGGCCTTGTGGGAGTATTGATCTCCAGTGCATGTAACAGGAGAAACCATTTGTGATGTAGAGCTCTAGCAAGGCCAAGCCCTCCATGCCATCAGTCATCTGAGTGATCGAATCCAGCCACCACTAATAATGTCTGTCATAACTTCTGTGTGCAGCCTGTGTTTGTTCTGTAACTGTGATAACTAGCCATGATGCCCAGTCTATTCCCCTTGCCATCAATTTGAAACCCTGGACAAACAAGTTACACAGTCTGTGG